GACTCGTCTGGATGGATGGTTTGGATTTGCTGCATGAGGTGGCCTCGCTGGGCTCCTTGCCTCATACCCGCTCTGGGGACCGGAGCCGAGACTCCTGTGGGAACCACCCCACAACGCTGCCTTCCCGGGTACCCCTCGAAGTGGTTGCGAGGGTGCAGGGACAACAGGAGCCTCCTCCCCTGAGGGAACTACCAGGAGTAACATGTAAGGGAAGGGTGTGTGATGAGGTGATGAACAGCATGGTGGGGACGTGGGTGAGCCAGGGATGGGGACACGTCAGGAGACTGAAGTCACAGGTAGAATTGGGGCAAAGTTTCGTCATCCCTTTGCCCTTCACAGCCCCTGCTTCCACAAAACAGTCCCTTACTTGCAGGCTTTGTAAGATAAGAAGACATCAAGGGGCCCTTGCTCCCAACAGGGGATGCGTAATCCTCTGTAATCCAGACAAATGGCAGAGGGGGAAGAAAGCCGCCTTATCGTTTTGCTCATATAGCCTTCCCTCTGATCTCCTAATCCCTAGAGTGGGGCTGATCTCACCCACATTTAGGATCTAAAAGGGACATGTTCCAGCCAGCTGCTCAGGTCTTGCCTATGATCACCAGAAATAGGCAGCACCTTATCGGAAGCACCTAAGATAAGATAACCAACCCTTTGGGTAGGTCCATATCTGATCAGCTGCTGAACCAGCCAAATGCCACTGGAAATTGCATTTTAAAGAGCTACATGCAAACAAGGAGAGTCCCACCCCTGGGGTCTATCACCACCAACCCTCCACTGCAAAGGCTGAAAGCACGTCAACCCAAGGAGAGTATGTCTTCTCCTATAAGCAAAAGCAAAAAGTTGCCCAAGCATCTACTGTTACAGCATGCCCTGCTACACCAATGCCTTTCCTATGAGACAAAGCAAGGACAGAAGGGACAGAGAAATGGGCACTAACCCAGGATGAAGCCACAGGGCTCATGTCTCACTGAAGTGCCAGCTTTGAGAGGGAGGCTCATTCCTACCTCAAGCCCATCGGAGCCCATTAGCTGGTTACACAAGGAAGGCAAGCCAAGGAGGATAAAGAAAAGTTTGCTCATTAGCCAGCACCAAATGGTGTTTAGTCATCTATGTAACTCTGATGGGACAAGGGGCATGTAAGATGCTCCTGTGCTACACCCCAAAACAGAGCCCCAGGTAGACCCCCCCACGTATGGTCCATACCTCTCGCCATGCGCCTGGTCCCTCACCCGCTCACCAAGGAGAGGGGACAGGTGATGGGCAGTTCCTCCCAAAAGGTATAACACATTTTTGTGTTGAGGGCTGGTTATATACAGTCGCCTCCTCCTCTTGGTTCCTTCATCCACCCACCCAAAATGAAAGCACGAAGGATGACACAGATGAGTCTGGGTGAGTACAACTAGTTTTTATCCTCCCCCATCTCGTCATTTCTTCTTTCCTCTCCCTTGGCAGGAGAGATGGACTGGAGGGAGCTCCCCCCACAGTCACTGTCATAACGAACCTCTCTCAATAAAGTAACCCCCTCCCAAGCCTAAATATTAGGCTGATCCCACAGAAAAAGAAGCCCGAGGGGCTTCCCTCCAAAAAATACCCCTCCTATTTACAGTATTGCTTTCACTCGCAGCCACAGAGCAAGGGATGTGTGCCCAGAGCAAGGGATGTGTGCCCAGTCCCTCCTGGTGCATCCACGGGGCTAGCTGGTCCCCCTCTCCCATCCTCACCAGTTGTTAACCACCAGCAAGCGGGGGCAAGCCATGCGGAGGACAAGCCACGGGGACAGCCACTGTCAGCACAAGTCTGCTGGTAGGAGCAGGTAGAAACGGTGCCTATATACAGTAGAGAACAACTGCCCCCTCTTCCCTTTTGGGACCTGCAGGTCTATGGTTTCTACCCCTTCCCTATCATTGTGGGGCAGGTGGAGTCACGCTGAGAGGAGGGGAAGGACTGGTAACCTCGGTGTCCTCCTGATGAGATGTTCACACAACCACAGGCCAGACTTGTGTCCCATCCTCCCAACTCCTAAGGGTGCTACAAGGAATAGGCTGGATGTTCTGGGGGAGCACCTATAGATTTTGGACCTGCTCCTGATCTCTGCTACTGAGGCCAGTGTTGCATTGAGCAGGGTGGCTGCCTGAGAGACGGAGCTCCTCACGGCTGCAAGGTACACCCCATTTCTTGTGCTCTGAGAGATGCCTGTACTGGAGAGAATTGTCCAGGTGGCTATTGCTGAATTATTTCCCTTTAGGGACCATCTTCACACGTAGACCTTACTTCTATCCTGGAATAAAGAGTGTGCTTCCACAGGTGTGTCTTTACATGAAGCAAAATCATGAGGAGTGTGGAATGATGGCCATACGAGCTTTATCTGAGAGTCACTACTGCCACCTAGGTGAGGCTTTAAAGACAGCCAGGATCTGAGATACTGCAGAAGACGCACTAAGGTATAGGTCTATGTAAAGTACAGTAAGCCCAGTTTTCAGAGAGCTCAATCTGGCCCCGACCAATTCTCTTGCACACCAAGACCTCCTCCCCATCTGAGTGGGAGGCAAAGCGCAGCCACACGGGGCAGGACCCTTCCCCGCTTGGTTGCACCCCTGCGCAAGAGTCAGATGCAAACTGGCCATCCCAGCAGTGGTATTGCCTTCCAAGGGGAGTCCTGCTCTCTTCCTGTGTGCTACAAAGAAAGTGTCAGCAAGAGGCTTTGCACTATGGTAGCAGAGGAACAGAGGAGGGGTCAGCAGGACCTGAGGAGCAAACTGGCTTTCTTCTCCTCCTCCTGCCCAAGGTGAAATGGCAAAGCTCTCCTCTCCCCCTCAAACCAGTCCGGCTGGGGACGAGGGCTCTTGGGGCCCCCTAAAAGCCCACTGCCTCCATCCTTCCTCCCACTGGGACTGCACCTGGGGACCAGGGCATGTCTTCCCTCCTGCCTCACCAAACACTGGTCTGAGAAGAGTGGTGAGGAGGACGTACAGGCCAGGGGAACCACCTCCACCTCAATCCGAGGGGGCTGGGGAAGGAGTGACTCTCATGGCACTGCCCCTCTGCTCTGCCCAGTCTCTTGCTGTAACCTACAGATGTGCCTGTGGGTTTTGATTGTACCTGCAAATCTTCCTCCTTCCCCTCCCATTTATCTCTTTGTGCCCCCCCCCAATACCACTTCTCCCCAAACCCTCTAAAAATAAAGCACCCCTCCCTCACTAGAGGGTGGGAGAGAAAAGCCCCCCCCATCTTTGCACAGGAGATGCCCTGTCCCTTCCAGCCCCCCTCCACTCTTGCATGCCTGCATGCTGACTCCAACACCATCCCCCTCCCTGAGCCACCAGGCCCGCTGGCCTGGTGTGGATGCTCTCACATCTACTTCAGCCTTTAGCGACACCGTCTCTTCTAGGAAGGTCCCTGGTCCCTCTCACCCCCTTCCTTCTGCCTCCAGCACCCTCTCCCCTGCCCAGCTGGTGCCATCGCCCCTCTCCTGCCCACCAGACTGCCCTCCACAAGGCAAGAGGGAGAGGAGGGAAGGGGGGACCTTCCTGTCACAACACGGTGACAGGTTTTGGAAGAATTTGGTTCTGGCGGGTAGTTTTGGGGGGAGGAGAAGGAAGAGGTGATGGGGAAACCTTTTTTTCTTTTTTTTCCTTTTTTAAAAACGATAAATAAAAACAGATGACCCAGAAGGCTGGAGCATAGCTGAGAGCCACCTCTTGTGCCACTACGCACGTGTCTGGTTTGTGCCTCGGCTTTCTGCCGGCAGCGGGAATGGGGGGCAGAAGGGAAGGGGGAAGGGAAAGGGGCATCGGTGGCTCAGTAGTTCTGTGTTTGGTACCCCTGTGTCTCGGTGTCGAAAGCATCTGCTGGAGGGGGCTGCTGGTACGTCCCCACCGCGTCTGTAGCATCTTCCTCGTTCGTGTTGGGAGAATGAGGTCTGCCGGCGGCCAGG